TTGCAAAAATAATTTTGGTGCTAGTGAAAAATTACCATCTAAATACCAAGTACTGGATTTTGATAAATTGTTCATACCTTCTACAGTGCCGAAAATCAAAATCCTTTGTTCAGAATCAAAGCCATTGTCAAAAATTAAAAGATTTTCATACTCAGGATGATCTGTAGTGCACCACTCATCTGTTGAACATGAATTTTAAATACAATAGTAATATTAATAAATAATAATAATAAATTTAATTTAGGTACGCACCATCAATTATCAAATCGTCAAGACTAGATGGTTCAATAGGATTTAATTTTGAACGTTGATTTCTCAAAGTTCTTTTCACATGATCTTCCACTGGCATTTTTGATCTGATGTTACCGTCCAACTTAGCAATTCCTTTCCTTCTGCATATACTTCTAGTGGCTTAGATAGGCCACTTTTTGATTGTTCTTTCATAATGCATAGTGCTTTTTCCACAYCTACCTTTTCACTATCTCCTAAGTGGTTATGATTGAACTTCAATACAGGGTCTTCTTTTTGAACGTTAGTATATAATTCTCCCATACATTTAAAGGAGGACCTTTTTGAACATCTCCATGTTATTTTGGATTTACCAAAATGCTTTAAAACATACATGTACCCGTTGTAACACAACTTCTCACAACCTTTATTTGACGTTATAATCTCCATAACTTGGKTGTAGGACGTGTAGGTACAACAATTACAGCCAACAACCAAGTGTATACTAATGGAATACTACATATTATTTTGTTAGTACCTATTTGGATGGATACAAATACCTGTCATTTGTCAATAAATTTCAATTTTATTACCCGACTAATATTTTGACTGGTTTAAAGCAAAGTTCAATTTACTTACTTCATTCACTAGTATGATTATCAGTAAATGTGTATTAAAACATAATTGGGTGTATTGTGATTCCATTCCTCGTGTATAAAACCATTGTAATATAAGATTAAACTTGAACAAATAATAAACACTCATATTATTTTCCAAACTTATATTTATATTATATTAATATAACTAGCTGACCCGGCCACGCGTTGCTGTGGCTAAAGTTTTTGTTATATTACATTATAGTAAACAATCTAAGAGGAACAATAAGAGAACATCAGTCACGGAGTCMACTATGCTTTTTCACACAGATGGTATTTGTAAAAAAATATGGTGATCTCCTTATTTGACTTTCTACTACTATAACCCTTTAGTAGGTACAATGAAATTATTTACTAACAAAGACGAAAATGTTGATGTTGGTATACAAATTCACTGGATTGAGATTTGAAGGGGAAGTACGTTGAACACAATTAATTAAAATGTTCTTACACTTGATATTAAGCAGAAATCAATAGGTACAAAATAAAAATTTATCAGATTTATTATTTCCATTTAATTTTATAACAAATATAAGTATATTACAGTATAATACAGTAAATAACATGTGACGCTTAAACTCATGAATGAGATAGGCAAGGCAGACAGTCTTAAACTTTTAAACATTAATATCTATTTTTTTGAATTATAAATACTTTCAATTTCAATTTAATTTAACACCAATCGGTGCACAATGTTTTTGGTTAACCTGTCTTTAGCTAACACAAATAGATTCGACGGTTTCCCAACACGTGAACACGCCACATATAGTGGCATATAGTGCATATACTATAGTACATATACTATAGTGCATATACCACATATAGTGCCCATGAGAAAAACATGGATTTTCCAAATCTAAACCACAAATGGACATTGTTTGACCTTGAGATTTATTTATAGACATGGCGAAAGCTAAACGAATTGGAAACTGTAGCCTTTTGAAGGGTATGGTAGAATCTGATGGTATCATCGGAATACGTGGCAGCAGGACCACTTTTCCTTTA